AGCTTTAGAACTCAAGGAAAGTGTCATGCTGTGGAGACGTGATAATCTACCATGCTCCTCTGGAGAGAAGTGGCGCTCACCAGACTCATCATCAACCTGACCATCTGCAACTCACATAAGTTACTCTACAGACTCTAATCAGAGAGTCTATGAGCATATTATTTATTATGGTAATGCAGTGAGCTCCACGTCAGAGTAACAGAGCTACATTACTCAGGGTGGGAGAATTCAACTGAGCACAAAGTCCACCCTGAGCATCAAAGTAGACCTGCAACCAGACTCCACAAACCAATAATACACCGAGGGTGGAGGTATTTTTAAATCAAGCTACTTCAGGAAAGTAGGTCATTAACTGGGGGCACGTTGCACTGGTGTTTATGGAAGTAAATGCACAGCATAGTATTAAATTATTCATGTGTCCCATAATTGCATTTTGATATTAAACCATGCAGGGAAAGTGAAAGAGACCAACAGAGTCTGAAAGAAAAGTCATAGCACAAAGGAAAGGATGGATGGTGCAGAGAGCGAGTTTAGTCTTGGAGTCAGCCGAGCATATCTCAGCTCTGGGTGATCATCAATCCTACAGGAGAACATCTAGCAGAGTGATTTGAGCTCTGCAAAGAAACAGTGTGATATAGCTGTGTTCACCTGCTGCAGGAGATATACCTTGATGTCATAGTTGTGCTTGCCAGACAGCCTCATGGCCAGTTCACGTTTGGTCCTGGCACATCGTTCCCTCAGCCGACGCACCTCAGGAGAGAGCTACAGGTGTTGGACAGGGACGGGAAGGGTTTGGGGGCAGGTCACATTTAGCCACAAGAGGTGAAGGGAGGAGGAAAATGAGGGGGGAAAGGAAACAGTAAAAGGAAATGGAGCACAAAGTGATCAAGGCAAAACAAGGAATTAATCACAAGCGCAGGGTGAAAGCTTAGAGCACTGCTTTGCTCAAAAGGTCATGCTGTATGTAAAAGCCAGTGATTTATAGAAGGATGGGGGGGGGGTACAGGCAGTTTAGGGCGAATATTAAAGAAGCAAACTGTGTCACAGCTCTCCCAGGCTGCTTAAATTAAACACTGAACTGAACAAGAGGAGAGCTTCAGGTACGCTTGGTGAAAAATTAATTAGGCAGGACTAATTAAAAACAATGTATTTTTGATGCAGGCTGTGCAAGTTGAAAAGTGTCGCTGGGCACTAATAGTCAAGGTTTCTTCATTAACTGTTCAACCAGTGCAAGTAAATCCTTCCCTTTGTTCCATGGCCTGGGGCCAGCATGCTGAGAGAGCTGCGGGGGACTATCACATCACACCCGCCTGTAATTGCCTGAGCAACTCATTTTCTGTCCCAGTACAACAAGATCCCTCCTTCCTCAAACTCAGGATTGTCTTGGAACACAACAGAGTTATATTCATTCATAAATGCCTCCAAAATGAAAATATATGTAAAGATAAGTATACAGCTATACATTAATAATCGTTCAACTCAGCAACTTTATTAGTGTGACTCCAAATGTTCTCTGTTCCTGCAACAGAGCATCCACGTTAAAGTCTGAAGAATAGTAAAAAAAAACAGTACAATGTGAATGTGCACACAGTGCCATCATGTGGAAGACCGGCACCGTGACTGTGCTGCGGAACACCGACGACCAACGCCTTTGGAAGAGAAACAGCAAGCAGATCTGAGGCTTTTCAAACAGAAATTCCTCTTGTGTACTTTCACTCCACAGTGATAGTATAAAGCCTAGACAGCCTGTCATACATTTTTCATGTACTCTATAATTTCCTTCCAGTTCTATACAATAATAAAAACAACTGTGCCAGAGAAGCAAGACATGAAATAGTCTCTTTGATTATTCTGTAAGTGTTTTAAATCAAACCAAGCAGTTTAAAATAAACTTTAACTGCATTTAACATAAACAAGGAGGATCATTTGTGCTGGACAAACACACGCTGTATTTCAGACATGCATCCACACAAACACACAGTACCTTGCTCTTCGTCGGTACTTTGGTCTCGTTGTCAGACTGCTCGTCATAGCTCTCAAACTCACTGGAGCTCCATCCATGGTCTGCATCCACAGGGCCACCGCCTCTCTGAACGTCTTCATAAATCATATCTGTTGAAACACATCAGAAGCTCCACACCTGAGATTCATGAACAGACAAGTATCTTCAACAAACGTAATGAGGTCGCAACTACTAGCCTTCATCAGGAGAGACAGGGTCCTCACTTGGGACATCATCGTAGATCACCTCTGAAGCCTCGGCTATGTGTGACTCAGCTTCGGCTGCACATGGAGCTGGAGGAGAAAACCAGCAGCATCAAAATAAGCCAACGCTGATTTTAGAAGGAAAAAACTGTGGCACCTCTCTTTCTTCTATCTCCCTCTCTGTTTAATACAGTAGCTGCACCTCTTGTTGATCATTCTTTTATACTTCTCCCCCAAAAACAACATGCACACACAGCTCCAAAGTGCACTGCCTGAATCCCTTTGGCAAAACAGAACAGATAAAAGATGCCAGATCTTCCAGTCTTTGCTTATGACTGTACACATCCTTTGAATATTTATATAGTTATTGTATCATTGCATTTAAAGCTCTTGGTCCATACATGATGCCATAATGGCTTTGTTCACGTGCCGCGACATGATTGTATCCAGCTTGTTTGAGCTATCGACTGATTCTACCTCCATGCTCTGCAGGATTTGTCATTAACTGCTTTGTGAGTGCTTCAGCCTAATTTAGCTCTGTGAGCTTTATTGATTTAGTTTTAAACTGTGGTTTTTCTGTAACACTTCATACCTAAGCCCTGAACAGCAGCGATCACCGCTTTCAATTATTCTGGCTGGAGATGTGTATTCTGTCTCAGATTATTGAGCAGAGTTCAGTCTACGATTGGAAATAACCTTGGACAGGAGATGAACAAAAAGCAACCATTTTTCTGCAAAAGAGGATTAGCTCTACCTTGTTCTTTATATCCCACTCACTTTTCTAACCTTGTGCATTCAGAAAGGATCAGAATAGAAAACAAGTGGATATAACAGCCTGTGACTATCAGCAAGTCTGCATAGTGTCTGGGCCTCTTGGGAACACGGTTTGTTATTTCAAATGTCGTAAAGCAGAAGTTCCTCAATTTGTTTTCTAACTTTTATTTCACTTTTCTCTCCACAAACACATTGACACTGATAAACTTTGTCATAGCTCACAGTGACACTGCAGGCAAGCTAAAAATTATACTGCCATTCTGTCTTAATTGCTGTTAATGTGTGGGAAAAACATAGTAAAGCATATGGGAATCAATGACAGACTGCAGCGTGCTGTGACCGCAATCAAGTTGTGTGGTTGCTTTACAAATAGGAAATACTACACTATTCATAATGATCCATATAAGGTTCATATGGTCAAACATAGTATTGTAATATATTTCTCATTAACCTTAGCAGTTAATGAGGTCTTTTTTATGAACTTGCTTTTTCTCTTTTTACATTATAATTTTAGATGCCTGGATGAGCAGTTGAATCTAGTTTTCTTATATATTTTAAATACACTGCACACAGTCAAAATGTCAGCCAAAGTCTGTGCGAAGACACATCAGAGAGGTGGGGTATAGAAAGTGCTGTGCGGCATCGCAGGACTCCTTTACATCTCTCATTTCTGTGCCACCTTCAAACAACGGCAGCAGTGCTGACTGGGGAGAAATCCAGAAGCAATTCTTCCCTTAAGGAAATGGTTCTCTATTGATTCTCACCCTGAGTTAATTGGATTCATGTCATGTCTGTGTAGAAATCAAATCACACAAAGAATACATGAGCCAGTGTTGGTATGTGTGTGCACATACGTGTCTTTGCGTTTGCGTGTCTGACCTCTTTCACCACAGAAATCAATGAGCCATAGGATGACCAGGAGCCTGGTGTATGGTACTCTTGCCATCTTTGATCAAGATCAAGAGATGCAACATCGAGTACTAACAGAATAGTGGTGTCCAATTTATATTGCCAGCGTGATTCCCCAGGACTGTTTACACAACTCGGGAGGCCCAGCTGATTTTCTATCAGCTCTTTCCAAGATGTGAACAGCGTAACATACAGTAGGTGGAATGAGCCTGAATCCCAACGCGAGCATAGGTTTAATACTTCTGGTCTGAAATTAAACCCTTGATCTACAATATAAGGTGAATCACTTCCCTGTCAAAAAGATTTTGTTCTGTACCTTCAGGGATGTCCCTTGAGCCCAAGCTTTCCTTGGCAGCTTCTGTGACTTGGTCTCTCGAATCAGCCAGTGCCTCCACAGCTGCCGGTGCCACAGGAAGCCCCCGGAGCTCCTCTCCTACACAAGGGTTTGAAGTACTGGGCTCAGCTGCTGCCGCTGAGGCCCTGGAAGGAACCCAAACATTAGCACAGTTAAACCAACACAGAGTTCTGTGTGCCTCATTACGAGTTAATTTCTGTGAGAGGAAGGGGAGGCAGAGTAGCTGGAGGCGGGGGTCCACATAGTTCCTTGCTATCCAAACGTGCAAATGCACACTCCCTAACATCTGACAGAGCACATATTGCTGCTGTCAAATTATTGTGATATTTTTGAGCTAACTTTTTTGAAAGTAGAAAAACCAGAGAGGCTGTGTTTTCGCCGTCTTTTGTTTGCCTGTTTATTTGATAGTTAGCAGAAATGTCATGATGTCAACTCATTATCTGTCATGCCTCTGGCTTACTATAATCACTGCCAGCTTTTTAAATGAAAACATGCCCTGAACCAGCTATTAAAACAGGCTCTGACATCACAGGGAAAAGTCCTGTTGACACAGCTATCACATGGCCTGTGTTGATGCTGCCACTGAGGGACTGTCCTCCCCCACATGACTGATAATATGACAGGATCCAGCATGTAGGAGAGTCCCGTCTACTAGCTTATTAAATCTGTCCCTCTGCTGAACACCTCAGTTAACAGCAGCAGCAGCAGCAGCCACTCAGAGTGACGGCAACTAGCAGACAAACAAGGCATGCCAGGAAAATAATGTGCACAAAATACCATCATTGTGAACAGCTGGGGAAGCAGCCTCTAAGGACCTGTTAGTTTAAATTAAAGTGCCAAGAGACTGCATTCAACAATCTAGCAAACCATAATCTTTCCTTGCAGGGTGCTGGACCAGGTGGACCATGTATTATGAATCAGAAAGAAAGGAAAACATGACTAAAAAAAAAATAACGGTAGTTTGTAGCATCTGCATACAGGGCATACTGACAGGGAAGATTCATTACATGAGAATAATTTAGACCGTGTTATAAACAAATACTTTAATTTGGTCCAAGCTCAAGAAGAATACTAAATTTTACTTACATATAACAATGTATGTACCCGTAAATGTGTGATTAAATTGTGAAATCCTGACAGGAATTATGAAATTGGATGTTTATCTGTTATGAAACTGTAAATATAACCATTGTACATATCAATCAAGCAACTGTACATGTACACTGATCAGCCATAACATTATGACCACCTGTCTGATACTGACGGGTCGGTGCTCATGTCACCCTGCAGCTCACTGTGCATCCTCTGTGAATCTGTGTGCTTCCATAGCTCTACTGTCAGGAAGAGCACGAATGTGTCTATCATTCACTGAAAAACCTATGTAAAAGGAGTGAAAACTGTGGTCGCGAGGACAAGTTACAGGTCATTTTTTTAGACAGCCTCTCTGCTCTAGGTGTGATATCATCACTGCAGCTGCTGAAGGTTTCTCTTCATAGAGACCAATGTATGGTATTTCTCATTTTCACCTATTTTAACAAAGATTTTACAAATTTAAATCTTTTGAAAAATATATTATGACATCATAAATACTCATTTGAAGTGGGGTTTACTTACTCCTGTTTTTACTACTTTGATTTAATGCAGTGTGCTTTAGATGAGGCACTTTCAATTTCACTGTGCAATGACAATAAAGACCATCTTATATCTTATCTACAGTAGGCCGACCTCATCATCACTGAGCTTTGGGCACCTATAACCCTGTTGCTGGTTCACTGTTTGTCCTTCCTTAGACACTGTTGGTAGGTTGGTTGTACTGAGGTAAAGGAATCGGCTCCAACTCCTTTGGTTGGTAGGTGTGGGAGATGCTCTGATCCAGTCATCAGCCATCACAGTTTGGCCCTTGTCAAAGTCACTCAGATCCTCATGCTTGTCGGTTTTTCCTGCTTCCAACATGTCATCTTCAAGGCTTCAAGTGTTCACTTGCTGACTAATATACCCCGACACGTTGTCAGATGCCATTGTAATGAAATAATCAGTGTTATTCACTTCACCTGTCAGTGGTTATAATGTTATGGCTGATGGTATATAAATATATTGCATCTCTTTTTTCCTAATGTCTTTCTGACTGCACACATTTTTATGTTATACTTTTTATTTTCTTGTTACCCTACAAAATACACTGAGAGCTTCTGTACTTCTTGTGTGTTTAAACATACTGTACTTGTCCAATAAAGCTAAATCAGATTCTGATTCTGAAACTAGCCTAGTCCAAACTCTGAGTGGTTTTCCGTCACACTCCACCTGTTCTATTATAAATGCCCAGCACATATGGACTGTAGATGTAATGCCCTGCCGGCATGTTGTAATAGCGCCACTGATGGTAGGCATTTGGTTTTCCAGTGGTGTCATTCTGCAGAAGACAGTAAATGTTTACTCTGCTGCATTCTCTATGATACTGGACCATTTATCTCAATCCAGATGAAAAAATAAAGAGCTCCCTGTCAGCACATTTCTTGTGATAAACTGATCTCCTGTCATTAAAAATGCTTCTGAGGAAAAAGAGTGGAGTGAGAACAATAGCCATCTACAGCTTGTCTGCCTGACTATATGCATTCCTGTCAGGTGTGAGTGATTTGAGCCGTGCAGCTATTGATCCAGGCATATCTTTGCACTTCCCCTCACGACTTATCTGCATCTATAATCCTGTTGAGTGATATAGGTCAAGGAGAGAACCACAAATCAGTTTCCAATGCAAATGACATAGGCCGGTGCAGAGCATGATCTAAAGCAGAGGCTGCCTGAATGCAAATCTCACACTCCCATCTGTTTCCATTCTCCTCAGCTGCTGTGCCAGGGCAGTACGTGCATGCCATAGCTGTACCTGTCCTGGTCTCTGCCGGTCATAGCTTTCCTTCATAACTGCACAAGCGCTGTGCTGACCATACTGATGAAGCTCTGTTGGTCCTCAGGTCATAAATCTCCTCCATAAACAACCTCCCACTTCTCATATTAAACCTTTCCCATGATGCACTGCCCAAAGTTGTTCTGTGCATGACAGACTCCAATTACAGTAGATATCACTGAAGGGTTTGGTTCATGGCTTCTCATTATATTTGTATAATAATTTGTTTTACAGTATCACCTTTTTCTTTTGCTTTCACAGCACCCCCAACTGAGGTAAGTATAACAAGGTGTGTGTGTGTGTGTGGGGGGGGGATAATGTGTTCAGTGAGCTACATGAGGTGAGTTTCTTCACAAAGGCAAAAGTGTAAAGTTCTGCAAGGCTGTGAAAGGGTAAAAAGGGCAAACATAAAAGTACCAATGGATGAAGAAGCAAAGTTCAGCTCTCTGAGGTTCTCTACAGACGCATACATGTCCCGTTGTCATGGTACCTTTTGTTCATCTTTTCATTGCTGAGGTTCCATATAATACATTTAATGAAAACAATCTGTCAAGGGGTGAAAAGTGAAGTGACAAGTAAATTCTGGCATCAAACACTGGAGCACACATAAAGCTCACAGGAGAGAAATGCTGCCTTGAGCCTAATAACAGCACCGAGCTGATGTGCTGTCACTGCAGTGTTCAGAAAAACCCATATTTCTGCAATAACAATCCCAAAGTAATTTGGGGAATATTATTGTAAAACTGCTGACAGATCTGGCAGATGCGCTGACAGTCCTAACATCTTGATGGTGGAAACTGCTATTGATAGCTCTTCCTTAAAAGGCAGACTATTGACTAAACCAGAGGGGAAATGTGCACTCAGCAGAAATCTCTCTGCATGAGAAATTGCCAAAACCTCCCTGTGATTCCATCGTGCGCGCACACACACACACACACACACACACACAGTCATTCAAGGACACACATACAGCAGAGTACTGCAGAAGAACACACACACATACGTACATGCTCACACCTGTGTGCAAACAGGGGCCCCTCTTTTCAGCACAGGAAAGCCCACAGGAATGCAAACCATGAAGTTAACTATCAGTAGAGGTTTCTGAGCAGACTTCCTACAAAGCACAGCTGGGGAGTCCTCAGCACAGTCAGGGCCCCCGCATGGCTCTATCATGGAGGCCAGAGTGGGTGGAGAGGGACAATTCTGATAAGACTTGAATCAAGATTTCCATTTTGTTAGCATTTTCTCTAGACTGTTTTAGCCTTTACGGCTACAGTCTATACTCAGCTGCTAATTTATTAGCTAACACTAGGCTAAGTCAGTCTAATACAACAGTCCTGCAAAAAAACTCTCCATTCATGAAGGTAATAATGTTCAGCTGAAACTGTGTTGTTTCAACTATATGATCACTTTAGAAAACATCACACTAGGAGCAACTTGTTTAATCTTTTATGACTTTGGTAAAAAACTGTGCAATATTTGTGGAATTTACAAATCAATTGTCATTTTCATGAGATGTCAGAGTCACATCAGCTACATCAGTGTAGAGAACCAAAGGCTTTATTTTTGGTAAACTGAACTGTAATATCATAGGCTGAGTGTGTGTGTCAGGTGTAGGAGTGAAATGACCCCAACGCTGAGTCAGATGGCATCTTTCAAACAATCAAGAAGAAAGTTTGCCTCAAGGCCTCAGCACCATCACTGACAATGTGATAGTTTATTGATTCCTCTAGGACAGCCGTCTTCATAGGGAGACACAGCAACAGGTTTTCCAAAGAGTTCGATACAGTAGCAATATGAATTTCAGTGAATATGAAACTAAATTATATAAACACTCAGTTGGCAGTTTATTTGGTAGAGTACACCGAGATAAAACTAAGTCAATCTAATACAACTGTCTTGCAATAAACCCCCCTTTATGAAGGTGATCGTGCTCAGTATTTGTTTGAAACTTTTAGAGGTGTTGATTCTACTGTATGAAAGAAGCCGTTTGAGCAGCTTTTGAATTGTATGGTGTTATACTGGTGGGTGTTTCTATTATTTTGTCCACCTTTTGCAGACAAATTAAAAGAAAAACCAACATAAAAGTCTGACTTTCTGTCAGCTCCAGGGCTGCTATCTTGTAGGTGACTGCTGACCTCCCTATGAAGACGGCTGCCTTAGAGGAATCAATGAACTATCACTTTATCAGTGATGGTGCTGAGGCCTTGAAGTGAACTGTCTTCTTGATTGTTTTGAAAGATGCTGTCTGACTCATTCAGCGCTGGGGTCATTTCACTCCTACACCTGACACACACCCACACTCAGCCTGAAATGTACAACAATGCTACAGTTTAAGTTACCGAAAATAAAGCCTTTAATTATCTGGATTTTAAAGTTTCCATATATTGATATAGGAACTCTGATTCTCAGATTTTACAAATATTACATGTCATTTCACCCACATCACAAAACATTACCCCTAGTGGCACAGGGCCATGCAGCGTTTTCAGTTATTCTGGCTGATTAGACCTCAGCTCTGGCTCGAGGTAGATGGGCCTGTGTGGGAGAGTCACAAGACTCCATGTACTAATAAGAATGATAAAAGTGCCATTTGTCTCACTTTAACTTGAGCAGCAAAGCTAACAGGAGTGTGAGGGAGCTGTCACTCACACAGCTGTGAGAAGACGTCTAACCTGCCAGTGTAACTACAATGGACCTGTGTGGGTGTTGTATTACATGTGTCAGCTTTTAACACCACCTGAATAGTTATTATTTTTATATAATACTACTAGGGCAGTGAGGGAGGGTCTAAAGGTGCTTAGCATGGTGTGTCTGATATTTCATGGCACCATACTAACCAGTGAGATTCGACTGACAGCCATCGTAGTAACTGCAAACTGGGGTCTGGGCTGTCTTGTTTCCACTGAGTATATTTAACCATACTTGTTGTCAGTCACCACGATGGCCAGTGTTCGTGCCCATGTAGTGCCATCTATGAAATTGCTGAACTTTCATTCTAGGATAAGTTTGGTTTGGAGCACCAGCCCTTAGTAAGAGCCCTTGGCATCTTTCCATCCTTCCCATGATGCTCTGAGCTCCTCTCCTCTTACCCCTCTCAAATTCCCAGATGAGCTTTGAACTTTGTCTCCTCTGTCCTGTAGTGTGTTGGGTTTCCCCTCCAATACTGAAAGGTCTAGACCTTACTATGTAAAGTGCCCTGAGATGATTGTTGTTGTGAACTGGTGCTATACAAATAAAACTGAATTGAATTGAATGTTGTTAGACACACCTTCCTTTTGCCTGCATTGAAGAGTCCAGCTGTTTGCTATATAAAAGTCTGTTGTTTCAAGGAGGAGACTATGGTGTTCAAGTATTCAAAATCACTTTTCAGTACTTTAGGTGCATCACAAATTACCTGACTTGACAAATAAATTTCCATCTGCCTCCACGGTATCGCACTGGCAGAAATCTTAGAGATGGACACTTAAACAGCAGAGACAAACAGTTATCACTGGGGGAGTTGAAAAAATGGGTTTTGTGATTGGGTGATCTAAATTTTTAGTTTAAATCCATCTTACTACTGCCATTATGTGATAGTATATGCATCATAATGAACTGGTGATGTGATCTTGTGATTCCCCTCTAGAACAGTTATAATACTTGACAGATGTGTGATCTCACATCTAAATGTTGTTCAACTAGATGTGACACAGCATCACACTATCTCATAGGACGGAGCGTGAGCGTGACATTATCTCAGACATAATGATATAACAGTGATGTATAACACCCTCTGCTTTAGAAATTTTCCCCATATTGTGACAGGAATCAGTGGCAACTTACCAGCTGGGTGACTCGCTAACTGGAACATCTGTCAAAATGAGGGAAACAGTCGCCATGAGACAAAGCAAAGGAAGCACATATTTGAAAAATGACAAATGCTACTTTGTTAGAATTTTAACAAGACAGTTTTCAAGACTGTGACTTTGTAACTAAAGTAATCTAATCCCATCTGCTTAAACGTGCGTTAAAGATCATTCGTACAACTGCTGAGCAAGAGTTACTGTTACTATGATGTTTACATAGATGGTGAAAGGTAGTTGGGACTAAAGCAAAGGAACTGTACAGTATGTACAAGGAAGGTAGCATTAAACAATGACATTTTTTTTTTTTAGATCCCACTCATGCCATCTGAGGGAGAGATATGAATTTCAGCTGCTCTCGGCCCTCAATTACATAACAGACCTCCTTTACAGGCAACACCCAGAATTCCCCTGTGCATCGCCACTGCCCACTTAACAGATTACCACACATATGCAACTTCATCTAGAGGAAAGTTTAACTCTTCTTTCTGTAGCCTGAGGCAACAGTTATACCCTGTTAAACAGAGATTAAAAACCATGAAGCTACTCACACAGTGCATGGCTATGCACTACATTACAAGAAGAAGACCAGGTGACTGAAGACAGGTTATTGTACAGTGTACAGTACATTACATACTGGAGGAGGATCTCAACTTGTTTCACTGCCTTTCAGCACATGTCTGTCACTTTCTGGAACAGCTGACCCAGAGCTCTGTTAGCGACCAGTGAACAACCGAGACTGATTCAGCGCTAGTTTAAAGTAATATATGCTTCCTGAAAATGTGTTACCTGCAGTAGAAACTGAAGCTAAATCCTTGGTGGGAATGCTGTCTTCCTGTCCAGCAGGTGGGAGTTGTGTACTGTCTGTGGGTGTTTGTGATACACTGTCTGATGTCTCACTGTCCTCGTTTTTTGACACGTGGACTGATCTGACGGAGTCGGAGCCGATTCCTTTACTGTCCTCCTGATGTTTCTCCTCATCTGTGCTGTCGTCAAACACAAACTCTTCCCCCTGTTCCTCATCCTCATCCTCTTCTTCATTCTCCTTTGGCGGTTGTAGAGAGATCACAGTAGACATAGTTCCTGAGAAAAAGACAAAATTCAAGTGTATATTATTTTGTCCGCCTATTTGAGTTCAAAGTGGCACCTGCATGTACATAATCAAATAGATTCCTTTCAGGTAAAAAGGGTAAACTGGACTGGAGGACTGGAATGTTCTTTGGTCTTTATAAACATACCAGAGTTGTACAACTACAGCAAAACAGCCACATGTAAAATACCTTTGAGTTGTATCAAACAGCACTGAACTGAACTGAACTGAACTTAACCCAACAGTGTGTTCACAGCCAAACATTAGACTGAAATTCTCAGGCATCGGTTCAGTGCAACTTTTTCATACTGTTCAACCACATAAACAAAACAAAAATGAATAGGATAACTTTATATTTCAGGTGCACAGAAAGAGAAACAGCATAATCCCAACCCTAATACTAAACGTGACATTCGGCTGATAGAAAAATTATTAGTTAAAATCAAAGAGTCTGTGGAGGCTTAGTGGCAGATTAATTAAGATAAACACACACCCACAAACCTCAATTATTTAAAAGGCTAATTTCATTTTTTCTTATCAATGAAAACAGGTATAATAGCAGTCCAGATGTTGTGAGAATTACTTAAAAATAAAGTAAAATATATATTATGAAATCGCATCAATACAGGCGAACATGAAGTGCAAACACATCCAGTATATATACTAAGTTATTTTGGGCCCATGCTAATTCCACACATGATGTTACCATATTTTCAAAATAAAATGTAAAACTTTCCATGACACACACACACACTGCTAGGGTCTTCAACTGCTGCACACAGTAATTGTTCCATTATTTTACAAAGTGAGGATTTTCCCTGATGTACAGAATCTGTGTCTGTACATGTCCGTGTAACAGTCGTGAACCCAGCATCTGCTTTGCATTTAGATTAGCAGCGAACAGTGTCAGAATGTTGTTGTGCCTGATAGTGTAGTTTGTCGGGCTCCTGTGGGGGAATGACAGCACAGAGCACAGAAGGACAAATATGGGCCGGCTGTGCGGGAAACCGGGGCTGAAACACGCTGCTTGCAGACTGTAAAATTCACTATCAGCACTTATTTTTTAACCTGGATACAGGGCTGTCATGTCAGTTACAGCTCTCATTATCTTTTACTGCTACTGCTGCTGACAGCTCAGTTTGGACATGATATTTTTAGCGCCGTGCTTCAGGAATTTAAGGAAAGGAATTTAAATTATAGTGAAATTCTGTTTCTATAAAGGCATCAGTCCCGTACCCTCATTCCTCAGCCTGTTTACAAGTACGATATGACACTGTAGCTTTTGGAACCAGTCACCACCTCTGTACCACAAACACAGTTTTTTCACTCATTGGTCAAATCAACAATGAGTCTTTTGTGGAGTGAAAACTTCTGCTCAGCCTCAAAGTGCATTGTTTCAAGTTTTGTCACTGCAGCACTGCTTCGCTCACAGGCCACCCAGGCTGTGGAGGGGCAGCCTATGGGAGGGCTTACTGTATGTAACTTGCTGTGGATGATTGAACCATTTTGTTGAAAGAAAGCAGCACCCCCTTTAAATGAATGCTACAGCCACCTACAGTGTAATGTGTAATTGAAAGTTATTGCCTCTGTACAGACAAGGCAGATCGGTGCAGCTTCTGCAGTAATGCGGTCAATGTACCGGTCCGTTGTGGTGAAGAAGGAGCTGAGCTGTAAGGCGAGGCTCTTGATTTACTGGTCAATCTACGTTCCAACTCTCACCTATGGTCATGAACTTTGGGTCATGACCGAAAGGGTAAGATCCCGGATACAGGCGACCGAAATGAGCTTTCTCCGCAGGGCGGCCGGGCGCACCCTTAGAGATAGGGTGAGGAGCTCGGTCACCCGGGAGGAGCTCAGAGTAGAACCGCTGCTCCTCCACATCCAGAGGAGCCAGCTGAGGTGGCTCGGGCATCTGTTTCGGATGCCTCCTGGGCGCCTTCCTAGG